ATGTCTTTTGTTATTTTTATTTTTGAAAAATACACTTTTATCGATAATGTTTTCATCGAGGTACCTACAACCGTCGCCGCGTCGGGGTCGACCTGTTGATGCGGCTTTCTAATCTCGCGCGGCTTATTGAGAGAGAACACGGGAAAACATATGCGTAATTGGAAATAAACGCCTCTTTGCCTCTTTCCCGCGAACATTAAAATAGATCGAAGGAAGACTTGCGTTCGAAATAGACTTGGAATTATTCGCGTGAACCTTTTTAAATAGTGTCCGTATCGTTTTTTATTGCTTAGATGGGTACACGAACTCACGGCCCACCTGATTTCAAGTTACCTTGAGATATAAGCTCTAAGGTCTCAGTATAGTTACAACGGCTGCCCCACTCTTCAAACCGAAACGCATTACTGCTTCACGGCACAAATAGGCAAGGTAGTGGTACCTACCCGTGCGGACTCACAACAGGTCCTACCACCAGTAATAAAATATGATGTCTATGGGTTAATTCGCTTGTCGAACTCTGTCGTAATCGTCTCTATATACAATACAAATGAGATTTAGATCTCACGTCTCAAGGTTTGTGTGTGTTTTTTATTGCCTTTGCAGACAGACGAGCATACGGCCCATCTAATGGTAAGTGGTTACCGTCGCTCATGGACGTCGGCAATGCCACGGGCGGAGCCAAGACCGCTGCCTACCGTTAAGTACTCTCCACAAGCCTCGTTTGAAGAGGGACATGTCATAGCGCTCGAGAAACACCGTGGAAGAGAGTCCATTTCAAAAGCCGGATGGTACGTGGCAGAAAAGGTCTTTGGAAACGCAATGTCGGTGAACGCAGCGTTTCTTAAGAAAGTGGCGGAAGGTGTGATGGTAAAATGGTGGGATGTGAGGGCGTTCGCGTTGTAATGTCTCCGACCTCCGACAACCACGTAAAATAAGGACACCAGTGGACCATTGTGAACTGCTTCACTCAATTACTCAATAAAAAAAGACACAGCGAACAAACTCATTCCAGAATCTAATCCGATATGTTTTAACGAAACTTGGATGCACGCAGCGAGTAATAAAATAAGTAATTGTTTAAAAAAATAAAAAAATAGGTACGCTTTTATAGAACATCCAACCAAAGTGTGTAAAAAAGCGTGGGGTGCTTTTCAGGATATTATCAAAATAACCCTTCTACTCATATCTGTTCATAAAATATTTATAACTACTTATACCATGCACCCCACGCTTTTTTACAATAAAATCATTTCTTCTTACACTATTTTTAATTCAAATTTATCAAAATTTATTTTCTATTTTTTAGTTGGATTTTCTATAAAAGCGTATTTTTTTAGTTTTTTTAAACTATTTTTTATTTTAAATTTTTTAGTTGAATTTCAATTTTTTCAATTTTTTTTTTAACTATTTAATTGTCATCGGTCCTTAATAAGTATGCCAAATTTCGAGTTAATCCGACGTTTTGAAGGGGGTCAAAATCATGTTCAAAGATTCCGTTACAAACATACACATACGTCTGAAGCTAGTAAAAGCGCATTAAAAAGCATGCGTTCGCCATTAGCGATATAAAATCGCAAATATTCAAATTTAGGAGTAGGCTTATTGAAATTTGGAGCGATACGCCGAAAGAGCTTCGCCAATATAATTGAGTTGAGGGCACTCGTGAAGCACACTAGGCTCTGTGCTTTCAAGCTAATTGCGATGCAGATGCGTGGGACATTAATTTATCGTCCATCATTCAAAATGCATACATAAAAGCACTTTGATTAAATTAAATAAAGTACTTGGACGAAACAACATTTTCTGAAAATAAATCGTAGCTAGATAGATTTATCGCCCCTGAAATCCCTGTATACTAAATTTTATGAAAATCGTTGGAGTCGTTTCCGAGATTCAGATTATATATATACATATTTACATTTTATTACTGGTGGTAGGACCTCTTGGGAGTCCGCATGGGTAGGTACCACCACCCCGCCTATTTCTGCCGTGAAGCAGTAATGCGTTTCGGTTCGAAGGGTAGGGTAGCCGTTGTAACTATACTGAGACCTTAGAACTTATATCTCGAGGTGGGTGGCGCATTTACGTTGTAGATGTCTATGGACTCCAGTAACCACTTAACACCAGGTGGGATGTGAGCTCGTCCATCCATCTAAGCAATAAAAAAATTAAAAAAAAACAATATTATTATATATACAAGAATTGCTTATTTAAAGATATAAGATAAGATATAGGATCGAGACCGTGGCACATAAAATAAGACCATTCCTTTTTTGCACTTTTGTTCTTTTCTTAAATCTTCTATATTAGAATAATAATTAAAATATTTGACACCTTTTTTACGCTTTGTTCATTCAATCGTCTTCACCATCTTCCTTTTTCCTGTTATGTCTGTCTGTCATTCTCTTTTCCACACAAGCACCGGTCACCGTCCTCGTCAAACCCGTCGCTTGCGACGTAGAGCTCGACGAGTGAATTAACCCACACAGCCCACTGAGTTTCTCACCGGATCTTCGCAGTGGGACGCGTTTCCGATCCGGTGGTAGATTCTGTGAAGCACTGCTCTTGCTAGGGCCAGTATTACCAACACCTTCGGCTTGAGCCCCGTGAGCTCACCTACACGTCAAGGAGAAGCTGAAATAGACTCTCAAGGCTATCAGCATAGGTAGGGAAAAGAAAATATCTCTTTTCCCTTTCTTACTGTTTTCTCTCACTCACATCTCAACGCTCCGAACCACACCATTTTCATACGTTCCGTTCTTACCGATCCTACAATAATAATTATAGATTTTTCTTCCGTACATGGATGTTAGAGCTTAAGACCCAGCTAGTGTTAAGTACTTATCGGGGCTCATAAAGCTCACAACATGAATACGGCCACCCAACTTTGATACTTGTCTATGTCTTTATTGTACAGTAATTACGCAAATCTTTCTCGAATACGATTTTTATTACGCGATGTTATTCCTTCACCTTGGAAGTCAATCGTGAGCATTTTTTTTTATTGCTTAGATGGGTGTACGATCTCACAGCCCACCTGGTGTTAAGTGGTTACTGGAGCCCATAGACATCTACAACGTAAATGCGCCACCCACCTTGAGATACCTCACCCTTCAAACCGAAACGCGTTACTGCTTCACGGCAGAAATAGGCAGGGTGGTGGTACCTACCCGTGCGGACTAACATGAGGTCCTACCACCAGACTTTATTGTACAGTAATTACGCAAATCTTTTACGAATACTATTTTTATTACGCGATGTTATTCCTTCACGGTGGAAGTCAATCGTGAGCATTTGTTAAGTACGTATTTCATTAGAAAAATTGGTACCCGCCTGCGGGATTCGAACACTGGCACCGTCGCATCGCTCGATACGAATGGACCGGACGTCTTATCCTTTAGGCCAGGACGACTTTAAAACGTGCCTAAAGCTTAACTTCTCATATCGTATACAACGTCTTCCAATAGTACATAGTAAATCAGCTCTTATAGTTTACAACCAAACTTTTTTGACTACAACTAGCTTTTATCTATCATTTCACGCCACCCATGTTTGCCCATAAATTTAATCCCATCAAATTTCGATCAAAAGCTCGACATAAGCTCGCAGGGGCCCTGACGCTTTGCGCTGACGATAACGCCACTTTTGTCGGCTGATAAAATGATTTTATTACAAGAATCAGTTGACATTTCGGTATCAGCACGATTTAAAAGTGTAATCTTGTTTTAGACTCAACGTTGGCTTTTCGAAATGGTGCTGCGACGATAGTTATTTTGCTTTATTAAGAACAGCGGCCCGCTCCGACTCCGCTCGGGTCTTTAACAAAAATTTCAACGATATTTGACGTCGTTTTATTTAAAAAAATAAAAGAACACTTATTGGGGCATAATTGTAATAATTAGACACATGCTGTCGCGACACTTTTTGTAAATAATAATGTGTTCTACAAAGTCGTAGTACATTATTTTATTCTATCATGGATAGTTTTCGCAGGGCACGCGATGTAAAGAATATTTTAGGTATTTTTTTAACACCTTGGGTTACATTATTGGAGTTTTAATAAGGATCCTTAATTTTTTTCAAAGAAGATTATAGCCTATGTCATTCGGGAATAGTGTAGCTTCCAAATAGTGAAAGAATTTTTAAAAACGGTTCAGTAGTTTCAGAGCCTATTCACTACACAAACAAACAAACAAATCTTTCCTCTTTATAATATTAGTATAGATTTACTAAATTTACAGAGACACTTTCTTTTTCGGGCATAGAATCAAACGTCATGCGAAGTATCCGCGCTTGGGGTATCTGAGTCTTTATTTATTATATTTATTTATTTATTTACTATAATTAGAACCAAAAGCCAACTAACATAATATAATAATGTAACAAATAATAGAAATAAAAAGCCAATTAAAGGTCCACATCACATAAACAAATTTTTATTTATTACGTAGATGGGTGGACTAGCTCACAGCCCACCTGGTGTTAAGTGATTACTGGAGCCAATAGACATCTACGACGTAAATGCGCCACCCACCTTGAGATATAAGTTCTAAGGTCTCAAGTATAGTTACAACGGCTGCCCCGCCCTTCAAACCGAAACGCATTACTGCTTCACGGCAGAAACCTACCCGTGCGGACTCACAAGAGGTCCTACCACCAGTAATTACGCAAAATAAAAATTTGCGGGTTTAATTTTTATTACACGATGTTATTCCTTCACCGTGGAAGTCAATCGTGAACATTTGTTGAGTACGTATTTCATTAGAAAAATTGGTACCCGATTTTTTTTTTTTTTTAAAACCCGCCTGTGTTTCGAACACCGGTGCATCGCTCAACACGAATGCACCGGACTTCTTATCCTTTAGGCCACGACGACTTCAAGAAGACTTTAGAGATATTTAACAAAAACGATGGGAATAAATATATTTTAATTCATAAAAAGCACTCAGCGTTTAGTCCCATTTAAACATTACTAAATCTATTTTTTAATTACAGGCAAAATGCGACTAACACTGTCGGCCATTTTACTGTTCGCCGCCATTTTGTCGTGCTCGGCGCAGGCGCAGTATCCTCGTCCCCGCCGCCCGGAGCGCTTCGACACCGCCGAACAGATATCCAACTATCTCAAAGAACTACAGGAATACTATTCTGTTCATGGGAGGGGAAGGTATGTCTATCTTATTTTTGCCTTGATCCTAGATTATTATGTCTGCGCGACATGTCCCTTCGTCACGCCTCACAGGAACTAGCGGCCGTCTGATGTCAACCCTCTTCGGTGTGTTTAGTGCGAATTTTTTAACGTTCTCGATAGCGTAAAAGTTAACTCAGATTTGTATGGAGTCGGAACATTTGCCTGCGTTTGCCGCTAGGGGCGCTGTTCCAACTGCATACAAATTGGAGTTATCTTTTACGCTATCGGAGAATATTAAAAACTCTCACTAAGCACTCAGACAGGAGGGTACTATATTTATGCCTATACCTGCTACTGTCATGAGTTCCGGTTTAAAACTCGGGAAGATGCAAGAAAAAAAAAACTTTAAAATGATATAAAACTTCTCTACGTCTGCCGCTAGGAGCGCTGTTTCAACTCCATACAAATTTGAGTTAACTAGAGGTCCCGCAGTAGTCGAAATTCGACTATAATTAATTGGGATTGTAAGTTTGTGCACTATTATGATTGTATTTTATACTTCTATAATCACAAATTTGGCCAAGACTACACTATTAAAAATATTAACAAAGACAAACAATATTTAATCTATCAATTTGACAACAGACGTCAAGAACAAAAGTTTAACAATAAATAGTATGCATGCGTGTGTGCATCAAATACATGGTATGTAGTGTGTGTAATGTTTTCTTTATTGATTTACTGTATATTTTATGCATTATTTAAAAAAAATATTAGCATTGTGCACTTCTTCTCTATGTTCTCTATAAGTGTGGGAAATTTCATACTCCTCCGTCCGCGCAATTTTTGTAAGAAGGGATACAAAGTTTTTGCTTCACGTATTAATATATAGATATTTACGCGATCGAGAATTCTAAAAAACTCGCACTAAGCACACTGAACCCACAACACGCTCTGCTACTAGTAGGTACCTACCTAAATTTTGTTTTGTTTTATATTTATGTAGTTCTCATGATGACGGCACCTTGAGTTTTTATTCCATTCCTATTTTTTGTGTAAAATCTTCCTACAACGACGACTCCCGTTTGAATATAATATTTATCGTAAGATTTTTTCTTTTAACCTTACCATACTCTACATAGAGTTAGCAAAAATGAGATTAGACCGTAAAATTATAAAATCTCATTACGCACTCTTTTGTCTTTGGATCGTTTTCACAAAGATAATGAGCGGACGTTAAGATAAGCATCGACTTTACCGGCTTAGACCGTATTTCTTTTTGCGCAACGTAAATTATTAAAAAAGAAACTCTTTTTTTATTTATTTAAGAATTAATTTTTCGTCATGAAATAAAAACACGTTTGAACACATTTTAAGAAATTTGAAGCTAATTATATTTCTTTAAATTAATTAAAAAGCAATTTATGTTGTAAGTAGCTACCATGGCTTCTAATGTCTCACTAACGCCATCTATGACATGCAGATTTTTAAAATAAAGTTTGCTATCGAACAACAGATGGCGCTAAACACGTTTTTTTTCTATTTCAGATATGGAAAGCGGCAAATGCACATAGCCGATGCGTCGGTCATTTTCCGGGAAAGCCCGTTCTTCGAGCACAGCCTCAACGAAGACGGCCTTCTCAAGAAATTCGGTTATAAATAAAAAGAAAACTAATAAAACATCAAAACTTGACGAATAAAAATGTAACTCAAATACAATTTATTTAACGCGTGGCGCTTACCACCAATAATCCGATGACATTAAACATTTATTATTTATGTTGTTAATGTTAAATAACAAAAACATTCTAGTCAATTTAAATAATTATCCGTCTTTAATTCTAGTCAATTATTGTGTCGTTATTTACTTGTTAGAAAAAAAAATAACCTAAACCGATTCAAAGGCTGGGAATGTTTCGTTTAGGTTATTTTAGCGGTTCCATTACTAGTAGGTTTCAACAGCTATAAATGTGAGACTATATAATATTAATCTAAAATACAGAATTATTCCTCGGCTGAATTGTTTTAATTCCTTGACCAAATACGCCTTTGAAATAAAAAAAAATACTCTTGCAGTAATCTGGCGCTTGCCCCCGCCATTTTTATTACAAACACAATAAAACCTTAAAAGATATTTTTTTTATTTTAGACTAGCTGACCCGGCAGACTTCGTAGTGCCTCAATCGATAAACAAAAGACCTAAACTTTTGTATAAAATAAACTTAAAACAAACAAAAGGAATCCGTCCGACGGGGGACACATCAAAGGAAAAACAAAATTGTTATTTTTATTTAATTCCGAGCATTTTCATATTTATCTACCTTTTAAACCTTATCTGGACTTCCACAAATAATTCAAGACCAAAATTAGCCAAATCGGTCCAGCCGTTCTCGAGTTTTAGCGAGACTAACGAACAGCAATTCATTTTTATATATATAGGTAGATAGATAGACTACCAGAGATAATTCTACAAAATGTTGTCACACGAAGCTGATAAGGTTTCGATTTAAGAACCTAGTGGGCTAAGGTGGAGACAAAGAAGAAGAATAATAATTTATATTAAGAAAATAACTTAGCAAAAATAGTAATAGTTTTTTACTGGTGGTAGGACCTCTTGTGAATCCGAACGGGTAGGTACCACCGCCCTGCCTATTTCTGCCGTGAAGCAGTAATGCGTTTCAGTTTGAAGGGTGGGGCAGCCGTTGTAACTATACTGAGAACTTATAGCTCAAGGTACTGGCGCATTTGCGTTGTGGATGTCTATGAGCTCCAGTAATCACTCAACACCAAGTGGGCTATGAGCTCGTCCACCCATCTAAGCAATAAAAAAAAAAGTAAGCACTCTAGCGAATTGTTTAACCAATAACACTGTAGTTGTCACTAAACACGCAGACTACAAAGTAACTGTATTACTTAAAGTAACATTCATTGTCTCTGACAGGCGAAAATTAAATGGTTTCTAATATAATCACTTAACACCAGGTGGGCTGTGAGCTCGTCCATCCATCAAAGCAATAAAAAAAAATATAACTTTATTAAAGTCAGTCAATATACCTAAGTCAGTCAGTCAATATAAGTCATCGTATAATATTAGGACAGTAGATAGCAGCCATATTTACAATTTTATTTTTTTATTGCTTAGATGGGTGGACGAGCTCACAGCCCACCTGGTGTTAAGTGGTTACTGGAGCCCATAGACATCCACAACGTAAATGCGTCACCCACCTTGAGAAACAAGTTCTATGGTCTCAAGTAATTTTCGAGCGGTCCCTATGTAAAAATACTTAAATACTATGTAATATTCGTTACATAATAAAAACACGTAGTACAGAACATTTAAAACACGAATTCAAAATGACAACAGTACCGAATCTTAACATTTCATTCGATGTGGAGAGTATTAAGCGGTAGGCAGCGGCTTGGCTCTGCCCTTGGCATTGCTGAAGTCCATGGGCGGCGGTAACCACTCACCATCAGGTGGGCCGTATGCAAGTCAGCCTACAAAGGCAATAAAAAAAATAAAAAAAATAAAATTCACGATGTTGATTCATCTTAAGTACTTTATTAACAAATCGGAATAATCGAACCATATACAGGGTGTCTCAGAAAGAATGGACCATCCTGAAACACCTCTTAATAGCTATAGGGGACACAAAATAACAAAAATATATATATTTCTTAGCTTAGTACCCAGAAAAATACCAAATTTCATGATTAAAATTAAAGTTAACTTTTATAAAAAATTACATTAGCTACTCATACGATTTCCTGCATATTCCTTAGTATGTAGTCCATGTAGAATATTATAACACCAAAAGGCCTATTCATTTATTTGTATCTGTTGTATATTCCAGAAACACAGAGCAGTATCGAAAATATCAACTTTTTTTTAAAATACGTAATTTGGGTACTACCTGAGATTTTTTTTTTAATTTTTGTCCGATATTTCTACTATGAAGTGTTTCAGGTTTATTCATTATTTTCGGGACACACTGTATGCATATATACGAGCGCAACCAATACCATAATAATTACACAATCGATGCAGGGTAAGTCGGGGTACATAAATATATCCTCCCTCTCCCCGTCGGGGTGAAGGAAGCACTTAGTACCTAGCTATTACTATGTAGGTGTCTGTCCCAGACGATGCTTATCGATTTATTGTACTATATGACCGCTGGAATGCATTCTCCAACCCTTGTATGCTCATAAGACAACCTAGTCGGTAAAAGTAGTTAATAACGTTCTCCAAAAATTTCATCTATGACGCATGACAAAAACTTAGTTGAAAAATTCAAATTTAATTTGTATGACAAACACGTGTTTCGTATATATATATAATTTAAGTATGTTTATATGTCTGTATAAATAGAAACACGATCAGAAAATCGAATAAGTATTGCGCGCGCATTCCGTGTCACAAAATGGCGGAGCAGTTCACCAAAAATACTATTCTGTATCTGATATCGGAACAGATACTGCAAGAATAGGTAGCGAAATTTATTAGATAAAAAAAGACATGTTTTATTAAATTTTTTTGTAAGATTATTCGTGTTTTGTGAAACTAAATGTAATTACTTAAGGTGCTAGCTACCAGCTCAGGTTTAAAAGTGCATTACCAAATCTAATTACATCTCTACCCTTCTACAAACTTAACGTCCCAACTACTGTGGTATACAAAGAAGTTAAAACTCAATCGTAGTTTATAATGGATATTCTGTAATAGTAAAAATATAAACGATTACATCTATATTATTTTCCATCAAACATAATACTAGTGCGTATATTTTGTCTAATCTGATACTAGGATACATTCCTAACGTCACTAGATACATCCATTTCATGAAACTTTTCAGTGTTTATTGAGGGAAGCACAGAGTGTTCAATTTACATCGAAAAAACCGCTTAAAATAAAAAGAGACATACCATTTGAACGTTATTACAATAAAAAATAGATTTACTTATGGTTTTTTATCTGTTGAATTAACAAAATGCACATATTGAATTAGATATATAGTAGTGACAATATGGTATAAGTGTTTTCATCTGATTTTCCCGCAGCCTTCTTCGGAAAGGGTAAGTTTGATCGGAAGATTTTTAAGCTCTTTGCATTCACCACCTATTGCTAATGTAGCCGATATTCAAATTTAATTAAGTAATAAAAAATGAATAAAAAAAACAGCCATTACACTACATAGTGCCTGGTTAAGATGTTTATTCGCAATATTTATTACAATTAAAACAGGCTCGTATAAACGCCTTAGGCAGACATATCGATTATTTCATCTTCTTAATCGGTTTCGCGTTCCTAATATGCAACATATTTATTAAGTTCGGATAATTGTGCTGATTAAAAACTTCTATATTGCATATTATTAAGGCAGTTACAGCTCTAGATCAATGCCTCAATTTGCTCTATGTCAATAGCCTAGGTCGCTAGGTTGCTCATAGCCCGCCGTCTTCCATACGCTTGTATACGTTACAATGAATTAAGTACCAACCTAAATTAAAAGGATTTGTTTTAATGACTAACTAATAAAATACTTAAAAAAAAGTCAGATTAATGCGCCGCGCAGATTCTTGTTGGAATATAGAATCATTTGCAACGCCATTGAGATCTTCATTTAACAATATTTTGACATTCAACAAGTTGCTGTTTTGACGGGAAAAAAATAATGTTTTTTTTCTATTGTGAACTTTTTCAAAGTTTAATTTAATTTTAATTATTGTAAGTCGATAAGACATTGAAAACTAACATTTGAGCAAGTATTATGTTAATCATAATATATAAAGTATTATGGTAACAAGAAAAGGATATCATGATAAAAGTGAATAAAACAAAAACTCACATGTACATCAAGCAAAATCATCTATCATGTCTACAAACGTTAACAAATTTCTGCCGTCCATTTTGTTTTTTATTTTTGAAATATCGCCATCTATTGGTGAGTAGCTGTACTAACATGTGACCAAATGTACTAAATATTCTTCTCAGCGGGTCGCGATTCCAATTCCGGTAGTAGATGCATTCACGAAGCACTTGTCGTTGAGTTGTCAGATCTTCAGAGCGCCTCCGGCTCGGGCAACTCTTAGCAAATCGCAATTTCTATAACTCAGCCCGTGGTCGCCAGCCTTCCCAGGTCAAACTGGAAAAGTACCCAGGACGCCAATAACCCATCCATTGATCAATAATAAAAGTCCGTTGAGTCTTTTGGTCGCCTTTTACGACACCAATGGAAAGACATGAGGTACTTGTATGGGTGGGATTAGTTATTAATTACTAGATCACACACATTATTACCTAATGCTAGCCCCGTGCTAGATTCAACTTTTTCCCTACCTATGCTGATAGCCTTGAGAGGCTGTTTCAGCTTCACCTTAACATTTAGGTGAGCTCACGGGGTTCAAACCGGAAGTATTACTAACACTGGCCCTATAAAGAGCAGTGCTTCGCAGAATCTACCACCGGATCAGAAACGCGACTCCCTGAGAAGATCCGGCGAGAAACTCAGTGGGCTGTGTCTATGGGTTAATTCACTCGTCGAGCCCTTCGTCGCAAGCGCCGGGTTCGACGAGGACAGTGACCGGTGCTTGTGGTATCTAAAAGTGGTACCTAATCCGTAACGACGTGTTTAGGGCGACGTCGACTGTTTACCATTCAGTCTACAGGATCGGGTATGTAGTTCCCTGCGGCCACGACAAGAGGGTTTTCATGTCGTGCCGTGCCACCTTTTCAAAGTGTAAATTCAACGAACATCGACGCAGACTGTAAATACTTACTGATGGACTCTAAGTCCAGGTCGTCATGGAGGTCGACGTTCCTGACGAAGCACGGGGCTCCGACGGCTATCCTGCAAAAACGGGATTGTATGTCTTGGAATGACTTTAGGTGAGTGCGGGCCGCGTGAGCGAACACTACACTTGCATAGGTCATGACGGGGCGTATGCAAGTTTTGTAGAGTGTCACCTTATTTCTAAGGGACATTTTACTTCGCCTGCATCGCATCGGGTAGAGACGTACTAGTATGAAGGCGGCACGGTCGCGTACCGTCTTTATATGGGGGCGGAATGTCATCCTTCTGTCGAGGGTGACGCCTAAGTATTTGACAACGAAGCGCTGCTCTGGCTAGGGCATACATTAGTAGTCTCCCTAGCTGATCTCTCTCCGCTACACGTCCGGTAAAGCTAATATGACCCCTCAAGGTTACTAGCATTAAAACTACGAATGAACGTTTGGTTTAATAAAGCTCCATTGCTTATCGTAAACGTGAAACCGGTAGTGGACCGACACGATGCCGGCCACAGAACTGGGAGGGACTCTTTGTTGTGGGCTGCGCGTGACGACCCAGCGACGATTGAGGTACAACGTATGAGTGTTTTAAAGGAACAATGGCGCCAACCAAGTTCGGGCTGTTCAAGGGAAGGAGCCGCGACAACCAGGAGCAGCCCTCGACGGAAAACCTCCTCCAGTCAAGCCAGAGCACCGAGCGAGGTAAGGTCTATGTATGTTTCTTTGTTGCATTATGATTCTATGGAGGTCTGGTGCTAAGTGGTTACCACTCAATTTGAGATATGAGTTTCTTTCTTCAAACGAGGCTTGTGGAGAGTATTTAACGGTAGGCAGCGGCTTGGCTCTGGCTCTGGCATTGTTGAAGTCCATGGGCGACGGCAACAGCTCACCATCGGGTGGGCCGTATGCTCGTCTGCCTACACGGGCAATAAATAAAAAATGGTCGACGAGCTCACGGCCCACCTGGTCTTAAGTGGTCACCAGAGCCCATAGATATCTACAACGTAAATGCCACCCACCTCGAGACATGAGTTGAAGTCTCTGTTTTGGCACACAACGGTTGCGGTTCACTCGTCAAACTGAAACGCATTATTGCTTCACGGTAGATATAGGCAGGGTGGTGGTACATACCCGTGTTGGCTAATACCTCTAAAAGAGCCCACGAATCGTTTCATTTTAACTGAGAGTCATCACAACGTGGTACCTCAGTTTTTATTACTTAACGACTGGGCCACCCTTCTCTAACTTAAATAATGTTGATTTGAAACATGCAGTCTGTCGCATTATTCACGCCATCTCGATCGCATTATAATAAGAAGACACGCTGTGTCGATGCCACACTATATGGGATAAGGGTAAGAAGAAAAATAGACTGGCCTGATTTCGAAACCAAAATAACCGGTTTCACGACACAAATACACGGAATGGCGGTGCCACAATAGGACTATCCTGCCAGTAAACTCCTCCTCCTTGCGTTAATAATCCTCACTGCTGAGGGTCGTGACCTCGTGAATTTTTCTTGGGAAAATACACATGGTGGGGTCCCGCGTCCTTCCACGGCAGTGCTTTTGGAAGAGGTTTAGTTCTCTGAAGCCGCTGATGCCTTATTTGGGTCCGGCTAATTAACCGCCACCCGACATTCCACGTTGAGTGTTTTACGGCGGAAAGGGCGAACTCCAACTCAACCCTACCGGGTTTTCTCATCCGGGCTTGGGACTCGGACTTAGCAGTAAGCTCACCCAATTAATTGAATCATTTACGCGCACAGTACAGACGCCTGACTCGCCAATACCGTCGACCAGTAAGGGCATAACTGTCGACAGTGCCTTCGCCGAGCTGTCCATGCTTAATCTGGACAGCGATGATGAGGTGAGCATAAGCCCTTCTCATGTTATTGTTATGCCGGTACAGGTGAGTCCATCTTTTTTTTTTTTATTGCTTAGATAGGTGGACGAGCTCACAGCCCACCTGGTGTTAAGTGGTTACTGGAGCCTATAGACATCTACGACGTCAATGCGCCACCCTCCTTGAGATATAAGTTCTAAGTCTCAGTATAGTTACAACGGCTACCCCACCCTTCAAACCGAAACGCATTATTGCTTCACGGCAGAAATAGGCAGGGCGGTGGTACCTACCCGCGCGGACTCACAAGAGGTCCCAGTGAAGTCTAATTTAATATTCGTAATAATTAAATCAAGTTCTAATTAGTATTGTATTGAAGGGTTATTTCTTCTGAGCCCCAACGTGTGAGATTATATTGCATGCGTATGTCTGATATCTGTTACGCCTTATCCGAATTGATATAGGTCGAATGTAATTTGTTTTGTAACAGTATTCACCGCAGCAAGACGTCACAACGCGTCGGATCAGCGACTCCAGCAAACTGGACGAGCCACAGGTACTTTTATAGTAAATAATATCAAAATGAATTACTGTTCGTTAGTCTCGCTAAAACTCGAGAACGGCTGGACTGATTTGGCTAATTTTGGTCTTGAATTATTTGTGGAGGTCCAGAGAAAGCTTAAAAGGTAGAAATATGAAAATGCTCAGAATTAAATAAAAATAACAATCTTGTTTTTCTTTTGATGTGCTCCCCGTTGGACGAATTCCTTTTGTTTGTTTTAAGTTTATTTTATACAAAAGTTTAGGCCACTTATTTATCAATTTAGGCTCTACGAAGTCTGCCGGGTCAGTTAGTAGTAAATAATTATCATTTATTTAGGAGTGTCTGTGTGTGCCTTAAATCTCTTGTTCATAATTATTTTAAAAAAAAACTCGGTGCTCTGTTGTCATTGTTTTTGTCGTTGCCGATAGATGAGCATATGGCTCGCTTAATGGTGAATAGTTGCCGTGGCTAATCGACATTGATATCAGCAGTGTCAGCCACTGCCTCCTGCTGGCGTCCACTGAGTTTCTCACCGGATCTTCTTAGTGGGTCGCGTTTCCGATCCAGCGGTAGATTCTGCGAAGCACTGCTCTTGCCAATATTACCAACACTCCTGCTTAGAGCCCCGTGAGCTCACCTTCACGTCAAGGAGAAGCTGAAATTGCCTCTCAAGGCTATCAGCATAGGTAGAAAAAAAACTTCTGGTGAGTGGAGAGTATTTAACAGTAGGCAGCGGCATGGCTCTGCCCCTGACATTGCTGGAGTCTATGGGCGACGGTAACTATTTACCATCAGGTGGGCCGTATGCTCGTCTGCCTACACGAGCAATAAATAAAAATAGACTCGCCAAACCTTGTTTATAGAAAGTCCCATCACAGCTCTCGAGCAACACGAGTTCAGATCGATTTAACACTAAACATACTATAACGGGCCAAATGACCAATTTTGAACATTTGCATTGAAAATGAACGTATCCTCTTATGGCTTTTGCACATTTGACTTCATGACTTCTTCTTAAAAAAAATTATCTACAATTTTTATACTTTTTTTTTCGTTATTTTGAGTAATACTTTTTTTAAGGGATTTTATGACCTGGTAACTAAGACCTTTAGGTCATGTCTTATTTTAATTTATATTCTTATTTTTATAAAAAATTATAATATGGAGTGAAATGAAATGAAGATGATTAATTTGAGACGTTAATCATCTGGGATGAAATTAAATGAAATGAGATGATATGGGATGAAATATAATCTTAGTAAAATGGTTGTCATTTACTAAGATTTTTTCAGTGGACTTTTTGGAGGATCTCGAGAAGTTTCGTCCAGCGGCTTTGTTTCATTTTCCCACATTTGTGCACTTTCACAGATATTAAACAGTTAATAAACCACACAGATATTTTCACAGATATTAAACAGTTAATAAACCACCGTTATTACACATTTAAACCTGAAGAAACATTAAATAGACAAAATAAAACAAATCACACAACTTCACTCCTCGCGTTCCCGCCAAAAAGTCCCATTTTGAGTAATACTTGTCGTATACAGTTATCTACCCGCTATGATAGAAATAGGTACCAGTAAGCGTTGGTATAATTAGTGTTAAATTCCTTCAACTCCTTCTAGCTTAGCTATCACATTCTAAACAACCCGTCGTCTCCCGACGCGACCACCACATCGACCCTCGACTGCGACGTGTCTCCGGACCCGTCGAGGGAGATCGACGATACCGCGTCCACGACATACGACGCGAACTCGATACAATTCGACGAGACTTCGATTGCCGCCAGCGAAGACACGTCGGTATACTGCACCACTCTGAAGAAGAAAAAGAAGAAGAATAAGTTGAAGATGGAGCAGCACCGGCGCGATTTGGGTATGTGGAAAGCCAGCAACGTCGAGGTCATGAAGGTGAGGTTCATGAATGACACAACCTTTTTAATCTTATGTACATAATATGTCAATTTTTTTTTAATCCGTGTTACATATCATCTCATCTCATTTCATTTAAATTCATCCCAGTTGATTAATGTCTCAAATTCTTCATTTCATTTCATTTCATTTCATGCCATGCCATATTTCATTTATTAATCAGCTTCATTTCATATCATAATATCACATTTCATAAAAAAATATATTTATAATAATATAAAAGATTAGGCTGTATGGTGTGATACCTTTGCCTTTTTAAATAAAACTACTACTGTATCGCGCGTTCTTTATGTGATTTCGTGTTCAAAGTCAATCAAATTTGTAATAATATAATAATATGTTATATCATTATACCCCGTGAATTTATAAAGTTCTCGCTATTGTTAATGGACTCACATTGTTAACCATGCGATGGTTATACAGTATCAGGAAATGTTCAATTCTAGTAATTTTTGAAATATGTATTACTTATTATATTATAATAATATGTATTTTTAAAGTTCAATCGAACGAAATTTCTTTCATTTTTATTTAGTTTTAACTTAGTAATTTGCACTCTGTTAAATCTAATCACCTTTTGATACTGACACGTTACTTGAATTTGTCAAAGAGCTGATATAATGAACGTAATTATGCAAGAGGGAGCCACGATTTTAAATTATTATCTCTATATTATATTTTACATGGAATTGCGGAGGGTAGAGGTAAGGAGCACACGCTCAGTCTCTAAAAATGTGCAAAAGCGACTAATTAGGGTGACGCCACAAGAGCAAGGGTTGTCACTTCAAAGATAACGCCAAAAGATATTTAATGTTGAACTCTGCAGACCTCACTCCGCTTACAACTGCTCGATTCATACCACCGCTTGCTACGCCGGCTGTGTATTGGTGGGTCTCTGAGAAGTAATTTGCTGCTTACTTACTTTAAAAATGTAACTACTTTCTTTGCCCTACCTATTCGCCGCAGTAACGCTTTGGCTGGTAGGTGAGCTCGCGGCATCAACCTGAGAGAGTTTGCTAACACTAGTTCTAGCAAGAGCAATGCTTGGCTTAATCTACCAACGGATCGGAATAGCGACCCGCTGAGAACATCCGGCGAGAAACTCATTGGGTTTAGGACACTAGTTCAACTTGGCTGACATTTAAATTAATTCTCCTTGCCTCCATCCTCCATGCACAGGGTTAAGACAAGTGAGACGCATGCATAATGGCGTCCTTTTTGCGTAGCTACGTTAGATTAATAGTTATCGTTCGATATTCAATATGGCGAATGTATCTCATTTTATAAAGGATTCGAAACAATTGAAATACAAAACAAGAATCAATATTTCAATTATCGTTGGCTATATTAATTCTTCCGTAATTGGTTAAAGGTTTTGCCTACCTAAGCTGTTAAACTGGGGTGGGCGAATCGTTGGCATTCAGGCGGCTTACTTTTAAGAGATATTCGCTGTTACAAATATCGGAGGATGGCTAAATACATTTCCGGGTACAGTTTCTAATATTAGTCTATTGTTTTGCACTAAGTTCAGATGTTTCATATTAACATTTTTTAAATTGTTTTGCAGCCTCTTACTTACTAGACAACTACATTGCGAAAGAACGACAATAAATCCTTCACTGAACCAAAGACGCATAATCACAATGCGTCGACTGAATTGTCTGTTTGGTCACAAGGTGTCTATACTATAATAATATTATAAAGAGGAAAGATTTGTTTGTTTGTTTGTTTCGAATAGGCTCCGAAAGTACTGGACCGATTTGAAAAATTCTTTTTCCATTAGAAGCCGACATTGTCCCTGATGAACATAGGCTACTTTTTTTTTTTTTTTTTTTGTTTTCATTTGTGTTTTAATGTTTCCGAATCGAAGCGAGGGCGGGTCGCTAGTACTAAATAAATACCAAATCGAATCAGATCCGATAAATTTCGAAATCTTATACCTTTAAACGAGCCATTCTTGTATATATATATAATCTGAATCTCGGTAACGGCTCCAACGATTTTCATAAAATTTAGTATACAGAAGATTTCGGGGGCGATAAATCGATCTAGCTACGATTTATTTTCAGAAAATGTTGTTTTATTCGTGTTTTCAATAATCAACTCTTCCTGACCTCTATTGGCGAATAATAATACTATTTTTTTTAATTGAGGGCAACTAAACGCTTTAATGACAACAAGATGGCGTTATCAAACAAAACAAAACCGAGTAAAGCTCGGTCATCATCTAGTGCAACGGTTCCCAAACTTATATTGTCTACTGCCCACTTTGAGAATAAATTATTTTTTAACGCCCCCATTTTTTCACCTACTTAAGAACCACTATAGCGAGAGCTCAGTCGGTGTCTAAGAGTCCTCCTAGATGAAATTACAAATCGCCTCCCCGGCCTCTACAGAACGCCTCCATTTTTTTTTTGGGTCCTCCAGCGCCCACAAGGGTGCGTTTTCGCCCACTTTGGGAAAGGCTGATCTAGTGTTACTTTAATTGGCTTAAACTTACTTTGGTGTTACTTCAATTAAACGTAGTTTTAAACGTATTAAGAGCTTGTAAACGATCCTGGTTACAACGAAACGTATAACTCACATATTGGGTTTAGATGCGTGGCGACGTCGCCGGGGCTTTGCCCCCACGGCTTGTGTCCACCGGGGACTCGGACGAGGAAGAACTCCCCAAACAAGGAGAACATAGTTCCAATACGTGAGTTATCCGTTTAATACTAATAATATGCTTCTGGTTTTCGCTAAACACGTTAGGGTCTTAGCGTGCTCACTGTTCACTCCTATATCAATTTTAAAAAGCGGCTTGAAACAATCTGCAACTACCCACATAGTTTCAACAGTGATTTAAACTCGAATAGCATTTTCTAAGCTTTAAAATACTATTAAAATAACGTGTAAATAAAAGAATTTTTCTGCAATATTAAGATATAATTGAGTCGTCTATTATCAAAGGTGGCAATCTGTACATTTGGACAAATTTTTTTTATTGATATGTCAATACAGATTTATTTGAATATAATCGTCTCCTTCAAAAAATATGGTTCAAAACCTGCATTAAATAAAGGTTAATAGTTAACCTGTTATTTATCTAAGATGTCGTTCCGAAGAGTTTTGTGACTGCCAATGGAATACAAAGTCAATAATTCGTTTTTCTGATTTACCAATCATTTTCCAAAAGTCAGATTGCCGCCTTTGATAATAGTCGACTCAATTATGAGCAGTAAGGCTAGATTATGATTTATGCTTTTTATTCTGAATTAATAACACTAGTTACTACTGCAATATATCTAATTTTAGCCGCCAAGCGAACGTTTTCCGAAGGTAGCTTAGCTATTTTAAGTCACGACCTCAAACCTGTGTCTCAAAGTGAGCAGAACTATCACAAACTGGAATTGAACTCAAATCTAGTATTGGTAAACATCGCTCTACTGTTAAGGACTCTGCTGTGATTGTAAAAAGGAGATAATGAGGTCATCTCAGAGAATCTCTCAGAGCACTTCCCGGAGTGCAAGATACAGAGAGCACTAATGTCATTCCATGGACTCAGATGTTCAATCAGTTTCGTACGACAATCTTATCTCGTGTCTCGGGGAAAAAAGTCCTAAATGCTCCTCACAAACTTTAACTAATGACTAACGTAACTATAATCTTCAATTGTATTTTGGATTTTAGACGAAATTTGAAACGAATTATCGACGATCGTTTAAACGCCGATTTCAGAACCTCCTAAACAAGAGCGGCAACGTCGACGAACAAATCAAATGGGAGGCGATAGCGACCGCGAGGGGACTTTGCACGCTAACGGACAACTGTACATGCGGGGACTGTACCAGGGCCAAGTTCCTGGTCGGGATGGCTGACGGGGACGGGGGCCTTGGGGCGGCGCCGATATTCAACGCTATAAGCATCGGGTGTCAATTACAGTAACCGACAGCTCAATTTCGAATTGTTGGTTAAGAACAAAATTGGTCTAAGTCGGATGCTCTCAAAGTTTTTTTGTCTGTACACGAGGGGGCGGTACGGGCAATTTGGGAATCGGTGGTACAGCCCTACGGTGGTACTATTCGATGTACTTATTAACTTATTAAACTTGCTAGACCACACTAGATTTATGTCGCCAGAGACAAAAACAAAATGGAAATCTTTGAAGGCCTTCACCTGAGAGGGGTCCGTGCATATAATAATTTAGAATAATAACATGAATACTTTTAAAAAAGTTGTATTAATTGCATGGAATAAAGAACTTTTTTATTCTTAACTTATTAACAGAAAAACCGCTTCATATTTATATATGGTTTGGATCATTGCATCTATTCGGTACCCGTATTGTTTCGCATTTCAGTATATTTTTGTCCGTAATTAAAGTGACAATATGAGGCTGTTACAAAAACTATTGACTTGATCAAATTTGTTCTTAACAATTCTTCATTGAAGCATTGGAATTTAAGTTTCGGCTGACGATGGAATCCCGTTAAAAAACAGCGCTGGCAATACCGGACTAATCAAATTCGCTTACTTCTCATCAGTTAAGTGAATAAGGTAGTTAGCAAGAGCGCATTATGCGGCATAATGCTCAACTAAAACTAACTAATGGAAAACTACCTGTATTAGTTTTCCAATTACAGAGCATAATGCGACTCAGTGACGCACAATGCCGAATTATGCTGAAGCTTAGTTGAGCATTATGCCGCATAATGCGCTCTTGTGCTGTAATTGGAAAACTACCTAAATGACATAATAATATGTCAATTCATGTATATTCAAAAAACAGAAAATAAACAGTTGAATTACGGAAATTGATTACCGTCGTACCCATTTCGATACAGCGCGGATTCCCAATTCAGCCCAAACTTGAAGAATTAGCAAACGGAAAGGTTCCTTATTGCATTACGCTGTGTTCTGGGATGTATTTATTCGCAAGGGTTTTTGCTGTTTGCTTCTCGCAACCTTACCCTTTGCAATCTAGTACCTGTTCCCTAATCTCGATCGGTACAGATTAGACTAGCACGGCTCGCGTTGAAGTGTTCACTACGGTGACGGGAATATCGGAGACGGTTTATTTCTAAGCTTCAATTATGGAGGGTAGAAGTTAGGAGCACTGTCTTGGCATCATCTAGGGGACAAGTTGAATAACTGTTTTTTTTTTTATTGCCCTTGTAGGCAGACGAGCATACGGCCCACCTGATGGTGAGTGGTTACCGTCGCCCATGGACTTCAGCAATGCCAGGGGCAGAGCCAAGCCGCTGCCTACCGCATGTAGACGGCAAGTTGTTAAGTGGTTACTGGAGCCCATAGACATTTACAACGTAAATTCGCCACCCACCTTGAGATATAAGTTCTAAGATGTCAGTATGGTTACAACGGCTGCCCTACCCTTCAAACCGAAACGCATTACTGTTTCACGGCAGAAATAGGCAGGGCGGTGGTACCTACCCGCGCGGACTCACAAGAGGTCCTGCCACCAGTAATTACGCAAATTATTATTTTGCAGGTTTGATTTTTATTACACGATGTTATTCCTTCACCGTGGAAGTCAATCGTGAACATTTGTTGAGTACATATTTCATTAGGAAAATTGGTACCCGCCTGCGGGATTCAAACACTAGTGCATCGCTCAAGACGAATGCACCGGACGTCTTATCCTTTAGGCCACGACGACTTCAAATTCTATCCACTTGCTACAGTGGCGCCACCTTAATTGGCTTCAGCGGTCATTTATAATGCACTGATATAGTCCTCCTTACTTCTACCCTCCATAGCTTCTATGTACGTTGCCCTTTGACGCGACATGTACTCGAGGTGTCACCGTCAGAGCTATAAGTCGGAAGTTCTACTTTATAGGAGAGAGAAAAGTCTTTCGGCGTATTAACGAATGCAAATTGCAATTGCAGATATTTTCAAAGTGACGTTCCGATTTTATGGCTCCGACGTGCGGCTTATTAGTGTCCAATTTTATATCTACCGTCGTTTATTATAAATTAATTGTCTGTGTAATTCGTTCGTGATTCGATGTTTAGTGTTCTTAATAATTATAATTAAAAAAAAGTAGGTTTATTAAATACTCTATATATTGACTTATATCATACTCGAGATTGTAGTGATTTGACTGTGGAGTGATTTGAAATTCTGTGGCCTTTTTTGAATGAATTAAACCCGCGATCGGTATGCTTACAACAGAACATCGAGAGCTCAATAAAACCCAAAATCGTGAAGAACCCGTCGAACATATTATACTAACTTAAATATTGTGTTCACATTGTGTATTGAATTCGTAATTTCCCAGAACAATTAAAATATGTATATGCCGTTGTAACTATACTGAGACCTTAGAATTCGTATCTCAAGGTGGGTGGCGGCATTTACGTTGTAGATGTCTATGGGCTCCGTGACTAATTAACATCAGGTGGAACGTGAACTCGTCCACGCATCTAAGCAATAAATAAATAAAAATCTAGATCACGAAAAATATTCGTTCTGTTTGACAAATACTGTTGCTTCGATAAATTGCAACTTTAGAATTGAAGTGGTTGAACTTTAAAAAATTTAAGAAAAATTATATTTATAGTTTGAAGGATTTATGAACATGTATTCTAAGAGTTAATAAAAAAAAAAATTAAATGGACAAAGTACACTTTCCGTCTCTCCTAAATCAAGCGAATATAAGCTTTAAGGTATACGCTTTAAGGGCTTAAACTATTAAAATCGAAACTGAAAAATTAACAATTCTTCAATGCTACTGCTACGTAGACAGCGGCTTGGCTCTGCCCCTGGCATTGCTGAGGTCCATGGGCAACGGTAACCACTCACCATCAGGTGGGCCGTACGCTCGTCTGCCTACAAAGGCAATAAAAAAAAACATTTTTGACTTTTACCCAAAAAAAAACAAGAATTCTGGATTAAGCCAAAGCCACTTCGATTCGAAAGGTGCAAAATATTCCAAGGCGTCTAATAATGTCATTGGCTCCCAAACTATTGGAAATCGCCTATTATTGGCAACACAATGTGACCTTGATTGTGTCGCGTATCATCCCGCCGAAAAATCATTTTTTTTCTGATTACTTATTCACCAAAAGTAATTGTTTGAAATTTTCAAATTTAAGACGCTTGTAAAACATCTGTCTAGTCCTTTAGTTTTAATTAAAACTTTAGAATCATCCCAATGTTTTCATTCAGACATATTTCACTGCAATCTCGCTGTTCAATATAAGTGCTGTGCTCAGTGTGAGTTTATGCGATTTTTTTAAAGTTCTCGATAGCGTAAAAGTTAATTCAAATTTATATTTGAACAGCGCCCCTAGCGGCAAAAATAGGCAAACGTTCCAACTCCGTACAAACTTGAGTTAACTTTTACGTTATCGAGAACGTTAAGAAACTCGCACCAAACACATAGGATATAAATAAATTCCGTAGTGATTTACTGAACGGCCTCGTACTCGTATTATGGAAGACTGACGTGTACTCTTTAAATAAAACTTAAGTAAAAATCATTTTGTACCTACTATCTTAAACTTAAAATATTCGGTCCTTGAATTGAGAATTATAATTGAATTAAGGCTTAGGCATTCTAGATTTGACCCGTGTGCTTAGTGCGAGTTTTTTAACGTTCTCGATCGCGTAAAAGTTAACTCAAGCTCGTATGGACTCGGAACAGCGCCCCTAGCGGCAAACGTAACGCACTAGGCACGCCGGAGCCCGCGTGGGTTGGCGTCCATTTTGAAACTTTATTACTTCGTCAAAGCGTTTACCTCGAATACGAAAACTCGATTTTATCTAAACTAATTAAACTTATAAAGCTTTTAGATTATTATTTTTTGAACATTCGGTACTCCATCTTGTTTCGCTACCTATTGCTGGTAGCCTAAGGTAGGTGAGCTCACGGACTCAACCTAAGAGAATTTGCTAATACTAGTCCTAACAAGAGCAGTGCTTCACCGAATCTACCACAGGTTCTGAATAACGACCCACTGAGAAGATCCGACAAGAAATTCAGTGGACTGTGTCCAATACCATCTTTAACATAAGGGCACACGGGGCCCGTGCCCAGGGCCCCCATTCTCAGGGGGGCCCTAAGGACCGACAATTTCTCTCACACATTTATTCGGTTTCCGTTATCGTGATCGTAACCAAAAAACCAGCAGCATTCTAATATCATTAATGACATATTATATCATACCGTATTTGATTACCAATAATAAATGGTCATACTCAGTAAAAAAATGTTATTATAATTTGCTTTTTTTACTTTCCAAAAGGGCCTCAAATTCTTGTATGCCCAAGGGCTCTAGCCTAATTCAAGACGTCCCTGACTGTGTCCTTCCACTGTCTTCTCTCTCCCTCTCGATAAATCTCAATTCAAAGACCGTTTTATCAGAAGGCCGCCATGTAAAAAGGCCAATTATTTATGTAATTGTAGTTTTCGAATGAAAATTATAAATTTTTTTAAACGTATTATAAATAATCATAGTATTATTGTTTGTATGTGAATTTTCGTAGTAATAATAATGTGAGTTGAATTTAAAATTATGATAAATTGAATTTACTAATGTATTCATGTTAGAATCACCTGATGAAGTTATTTAAACGCACTTTCTTGTTCTTAAAACATTTTCTATTCTCGACATTTTCATTTCATAGAATAAACATAAACGTCATTTTACGTGTGATTTTTATAAATGGCGGGAAAAGTCGACATCACATTTAAAAAAATAGTCAACCTGATTGATTTTGTTTCTGTTAATAATTGTATACATTGAATTAAGGATTTTTAATCTAAATATAAGATATTTTTATAGTATTCTTAAACGTTTTATGTGTAATTAGGGGATTTGACTTTTAGTACTGCGGCCATTAAGCTTTGTCCTTTTAAAGACACAAGAGGCAATGACTACAGAAGCCTCAATCTACAGCCAACAACAATGCCATTTTTTATTTCTTTATATTCGGATCTCTTCACGGTGATCCTGGAAAGTTACTGAAGCTAAAAAATAACACAAGGCGTAAGGTGCATTGTGATATGAGTTCGAAAACTCCATAATAAATCGGTTGTTCTAAGATAAAATTGTTAATTACTTACTTTTAACACTACCTTTTAGTGGTTGTATTTTAGGGAATGTTAGTAAGGCCATCGCCATTGTTGTGATAGACCCTAATCTGTCAAGATTGGCGTTTGTATTCAGCTTTCTGTGGTCAATAGTCTGGTAACAAATGCAGTACATAAGGATAACATTGATATTTGTATTTAAATTAAATGTACGTAGTAATAGTAACTTTATATTATGGTTTATTTTTTTTCTAATAACCCTTTTTGTATTCCGCGAGCTTAACGTGACAGTCTGAAAAACAATCTTTTTAGTATGTTTATTTTTACAAAAATAACTGAGAATTTACTTAGCGATAATTAGTCGAGGTCCTGTCGCGGGACCAGCATAAATTTTGAAAATGTTGCTCGCCGACATTCTCGCTGCCTACATATAGTAAAATATATTTCCTATTTATGTAATATATAAATGTACCTAATATTTTATATACGAATAAAATTTTTGTACCTAATCATCTTTCATAATTAAACATAAGTGCTTCATAAAAACAATACCACTGGGACAAATCTTTGCAGTAAGCCTTTGCTCAAGCCAAAACATGGGGTGATGAATGATTATCTTGTCAATGGTCATTCGAATTCCAAAGTGCTGAGAGCACATCACAGGCGAAAATCCATGGCTTCGAAATAATAAAAAAACAATTTACCATTCGTTTTTTTTAAATGTTTGTATGTAATGATTCCTATCTATTTTTTAGATACTCTATATTTAACACTTCCGTATATCAGTATTGTCCATATCAATAATTTCGAATATAATTGTAAATCGTTGGTCTCTATAATTTTATCAAATGAAATATATCCTATGTAAAATGTAGAAATAAAAAAATGGTTTCTGTTAATATTCGTGATTTTCATGCTCTTTCAAAATCGTCTATGACTTTTAAAAAAATGGAGGAAGTAATCGCGTGTAACAAATTGGAATCTCTTGTACCTACTTAGGTACTCGTTGTGATAAAAACAACATAATTATTAATAACATTTTGTGAATCTTTTTTTTTAATATGTACGTTTTATTATTGATCTAATTGTCGTGTACTATGTGTGTAGCGATCGCAGTAATAATTGATAATTTTATATTCTAATACTACTACATATTCGATGTAAAATGAATGTTTAGCCAAAATAATATTACTTCGCATAAAACATAATTAATAAACTGTGGTGTCAAATTATATGTGATGTCTTTTATTAGCATGCTTCGATTGGACCTCGTAGGAGGCCTTCTCTGGGAGCGCTCCAGTAGCTGGTAGCAAATCTTCCCTTCATCATATAATCCTTGCGTCGCCCATACGTCCTATCTATGTTTTTGTACTATCTGTAATATTACCATTCCAAAAAAATACTTAGCTACGTGAGCAAAGGCCACCTTCGCATGTGTCTTGATGGAGCTAATGCTTACTTTGTAAAGTGCCACTCTACTACGAATGAATGCCAACTGAGTCTCTCTCCAGACCTTCGCAGTGAGTAGAGATTGTGATCCGGTGGTAGATTCTGCGAAGCACCGCTCTTGCTAGCCCATGAGTTCACCTACCCGTCCGCGAGTAGCTGGACGTCTTACGCTATCCGCGAATAAGTAGGGCAAAACTAATGGAGCTAATTCTGCTTGACGTTCTATAGTCTATGGACAAATAGCCTGTACTTAACGCACTACGATCGTAGACTCTTCTTCATCACAGAATCTTAATGTGAGGATGGAAGGTCAAAGTTCTAATCTCCCTATGAAGCTGCTAGTGATGATGAAATTATATTTAACAATATTTTTTTAAGTGTGGGCTCACAAGATGCTCTACCTCCGGTGATTAGGCAAATTATAATACTTTCGGGTTTCATTTTTATTTCACAATGTTAATCATTCACCGTGGAAGCCATTGAAGTCATGAGATGTTGATCTACTTGTTCTTTAATTTTTGTGAGTTGATTTAACATACAATGATTCTAATACATATTTCTTTTATACTTACCTACTTAAAATAAAATAAAAATTGCACTGATGGATATTTCCAATTTGGGAAGAGCTGCCATTCTTAAAAACCCATTAACAATAACAATCTATTGTTTCTTAATAGTTATTATATGTGGCTGTTGCTAATTAACTGTTTTTCATCGTTCAGCCGTACTTATTCTTGAATTTTTACCATAATGGAGGAATTATTATAAAAAAATATCCCACTACTACTACAATTGTTACATTCTAAATTGAAGAGGAACTCAAATATTAGTCCCCTACATATCCGCTTTACTACATAATTAAAATTAAGGCGACTCATACAGTTATTCTATTTTTGGTCTGCCTGAAAACTAAGCTCAACTGCCAAAGGACTTTTTGAAAATATTTAGAAAATATTGAAAAGTCTCAATAAAAAAACAACCAAATTACTGAGACTGTATTTCATCCCATATCATCTCGTTTCATTTAATTTCATCTCAATCGATTAAATGCTCAAAATAATCAACTTCATCTCATTCGCTTAATTTCATTTTTCATACAACAAATTAAAAAAAAATAAGGCTCCCTTAAAGGTCTCGTTACCAGGCGACAAAATATATAAAAAAAACAACTGTCAATCAAAAGAAACAACAAACGCGCTGGGCATTGTCGTTTATTTCATAGATAAATACACTTAATATGTTTATTATTTTTAATTAAATGAAATTAACATTTTTACAATAACATTATAAAAGAATATATTATGAGTGGCCCGAACGGCATGCTGTACGGGGGAGACGAGATAGGTGCACTAGTCTTTGATCCTGGTCATCATTCGTTGCGAGTTGGTTATGCGCAAGAGGATACCCCAAAAGCCGATATACCAGCAGTTGTGGGCGTCGGACCAGCTACACACATCCCAAATTCCGAAGAAAAGGTTCCTGATGGCAACATCACTCAAACCGGTGAGTATTGAAATTAAGTTCGTCACCTAAGTGTAATATTATAATGACCTGTGTTTGAGGTTGCAAACATTTCGCAAAACTAATTGTTATTGACAAATTGAAAAAAAAAACTTTTCAATTGTTAAGATATTATATAAAATATCCAACTAACATTCATTTATTGGTATTTAAAATAAACAAAATTCATCAATTGTATAATTAATAATAAAATATCGTGTTTTGTGTATATTCCCGCGTTTCAAACATGCGTTTTATTAGAATTGGTAACTTAATTGTGCCAAAGAAACTGAATCCAATCTTACGTATGTATATAGAAAAAAGCATTAATAGCTAGTTATCCACCATAGAGCTCTTCTGTAAAAATGTATCCAAGATTCAATACAAAAGTATGACACCATTCGCTATGATTTATATTAAATATTATTAATTCAAAATGAAATTAATTAAACTTTTCAAAAATACAATACAAAAAAACATTATAAAAATGGATTGCCTATTATTGAGATGTCTAATACTATTATTATATTACAAAATGCATCAGTAACTTTTACTGATGTGTATACTGGCCTTGGTTAGTGATTATCTCTACAGTTTGCTGTGAGGTGGACCTTCTGTATACTGCCATGATTTATCCTCTTTATACTGTCTAAGATGAGGCTTTCTACCATCTGCCTATGTAGACTTCTGGAATATTTTGGCAACATTGCAATAAAGGATCACGGCAGCTTGGAGAAGCTAATGGTGACAAGACCACGAGGTAGAGGCCTGACACATCGGACTGACCAGATCCGCACTACCCTCAACATCACAGTTCATGATGCTCTACACTCAGCGGCAGATAAAAGCAAATGGTGTGGAGTGGTCCATAATAAACTCTTTTTGCAAAGAGGTAATCCTCAATATTGAGGAAACCAAAGCAAGAACAAGGATTCTGTCTTATGTCTGATGCAGAAGTCAAAGGGGAAATCACTGCTCTATATTCCCAAGATAACGTGTTATTATTCCGTTAACAGGCAGTAAAGCAGGCAGTGAGCTGCGACACTACATAGACGTCACAGAGCTCCACGTTCCGCGTCCGGGAATGGAAGTGCAGACGTACATGAAAGACGGACAAGTCGACAACTGGGATCTGTTTGAGAAGATGCTTGATTATTGTTATTCTAAGGTAATTTTTAGTTTCACTGAACACATTTCCTTTTTTTAATAAATGAAATTTAATATTACTAATCATTAATAACAAACTGGTGGTAGGACCTCTTGTGAGTCCGCGCGGGTAGATACCACCGCCCTGGCTATTTCTCCAGTAACGACTCAACACCAGGTGGGCTGTGAGCTTGTCCACCCATCTAAGCAATAAAAAATAAAAAAATAAATGAAGTCGAAGTCCCACTACTCTATCGTAATGCATATTTTCTTCGCGCCAATTTTAATGACGATAACAATACCTGTATAGTCTAACATGATAACCGACCCTCAGTAATCTGGTAAAATACTCAAATAAATCTACAGCTGGTCTTTTTTATTGCTTAGATGGGTTGACAAGCTCACTGCCCACCTGGTGTTAAGTGGTTACTGGAGCCCATAGACACCTACGTTGTTAATGCCATCACTCACCTCGAGACACAAGTCTTCTTTGGATATGGTGCTTCAATTAAGTTCTAGGTTTTTCTTTTGTTGCAACGTTTTTGTAGGGCAATACCATGCTCTGACAAGGTATATTCAGTAAATCCTAATGTCTTTCAGATTCATATTTGTCTAATTAAATATATAGTAATAAAATTAATACTAGGTCACCGGTCCTTAATGCATCCACTAATTTTCAAATTAATCATATATTTTGAAGTTGGTCGAAACAACATTCAAAGTTTTTTGTTACATACAACCGGACATACATCAATATGCATGTTAAAAAAATTACTTAAGACCTAAGTTTATTAGCCCATGACCGGTGCCAAACATACATAACATTTCGTTTTGTTATGAGGGTTTTTGATTGTACAGGTAATCCGCTCTCCATCAGAGCACCATCCGGTACTCTTCACTGAGGCAGTCTGGGCCACCCGACCAGTGAGGGAGAAGCTAGCCGAACTCATATTCGAGAAGTATCAAGCACCAGCTTTCTTCCTGGTCAAGAATGCTGTCCTAGTGGCCTTTGCAAATGGAAAATCTACAGCTCTGGTCATAGACGCTGGAGCCACACAGACATCAGCCGTGCCTGTTATCGATGGGTGAATTTTTTCGCTTATTTGTTGTCTTGAAAGGAAAACGAAACTAGGATCATCCTGTTGGTATGTGGTCACTGTCACTCATGGACAGCAGCCAGGGATAAAGACATTTAAAAATACGAAACAGAAAATTGTCTCGCACTCCACAAGACTTGACCCCAAGCAACTTTTCTCTGTGTGATGTCATCCAGGGTCAAACAATTTATAGGTTGATCATGGATGCATTCTATTGGGTGTTTTGATTAATTTGAAAAAAAATCAATTAATTAATCCTATTTAATAATGGCTAGTTATCAATATATTGATTGTGTTGATTTGGTATTGTTGTCTACTTTTAAGGATACCATATCTTTTTTTTTTGTTTTTCTGGTACTCCTAATTTTATTTTTATTTGTAATTATTAATTCTTATTTGTAATTTTGTTTTCAATAGCCAAAGCCATGTACATTAATACGGGTTTGCTGAGTGCACATACCATTTAGATTGCAATCCAATAATATATTTCAAGTTGTGATTCCAAATATCCATCTAATAGAGTAATTGAACATAATTTTATGTCCCGCCATGCATGTATATTGTTCCGTGACTTGCTAGCTATTTCCACGGTGGAATTGAAAAGAAATTATCGTGAAACGAAAATTAGAATCCGAGAATTTTTTGTGTATCAATTAATTGGTGTTGGGCATTGTGAGCTCGCACGCATGTCCGTCGTATTTCTGCCGCGAATCATACATCACTCGGACCGCGCGTTCGGGTGTTGCGTGAGCGTGACTCGGACCGCGCGTCCGATTGTTGCGCGAGTCGGACTGCGCGTCCGGTTGTTGTGTGAGCGTGACTCGGACCGCGCGCCCGCAGGTACGCGCTGGTGAGTGCGGCGGCGCGCTCTGCGCTGGGCGGGGACCACCTGGTGGCGCAGGCCAAGCTGATGCTGAACGCTTCGCACATACAGATGCTGCCCATATACAGCATACAGGTAATTTAATAAAATTCACAGCAATATAATGTTAAAATGTAATTAAAAGTCAAAACTGTAATTAAAGAATTGTAATTTTTCAATTTCGATTTTAATACTTTAAGCCTTAAAGGCGCGTATCTTAAGAGTTTAAAATATGCGCTTGATTTAAAAGAAACGGAAACTGTAACTGTAACTATATTTGAGACTTTAGAACTTATATCTCAAGGTGGGTGGCGAATTTACGTTGTAGATGTCTATGGACTCCAGTAACCATTTAACACCAGGTGGGCTGTGAGCTCGTCCACCCATGTAAGCAATAAAAAAAAGAAAAAAGTGTACTTTGTCCTTTTCTAGACGAAAATTTAAATAAACTTTTGAATTTTAAAAGATTTCATTTTATAAACTGATAAAAGCGCTGGGCGTATTCCAAGACACGCGTCTTTAAATGATATGGTAAGAAGGGCGCTCACTACAGTCAATGTTCCGGCTGTCTTGGAACCCATCGGAATTTTGAGGTCAGATGGGAAAATGCCCAATGGAGTCACGCTTATTCCATGGTCAGTTGGTAGGTGCCTAGTATGGGATGCTACTTGTGTGGATACTATGGCTCCCTGTCATTTAGATGGTACTTCCTCCCGCCCCGGTTCAGCTGCAGCTTCAGCAGAAATTAAAAAAAAGCGGAAGTATTTGGGTTTGGGTCTTCTTATTCTTTTATGCCTTTCGCGGTTGAGACGATGGGCCCTTGGGGCCCTGAAGCAAATAATTTTTTAACAGAAATCTCCAAACGCTTGAAGGAGGTTACACATGATGCTAAGGTACTTTGCACAGAGAGTGAGTCTGGCTGTCCAACGAGGCAACGTTGCCAGTATCTTGGGAACTGTGCCTCCTTCAAGCGCATTGGAAGATTTATTTTACTGTGTGAGTTGATTTATGTTAAATTATTTTGAATTGTTATATTGTAAAATAAAATTAAAAATAACAAAAAAGACAGTTAAATACAACTGATAAAATACCTGTTTATAAATCGTTCAAAGTATAAAATTCATTTTCTTAATTATTTTGAGTTAAGCCACTTTAGTTCTAAAGGTTTTATCCGAATGCGACTGGGCGACGCCAAGCCGCCGTCGCTCGAATCATGTCTTGTCGGATCCCCCGGATTCACTTTCGGTGCTTTTAAGCCTCTCAAGCACCGGTCAACCGGCAAAAGCTCGACGAGCAAACTAACCCATAGATACAGCCCACTGAGTTACTCGCCGGATCTTCTCAGTGGGTCGCGTTTCCGATCCGGTGGTAGATTCTGCGAAGCACTTCTCTTGCTAGGGCTAGTGTTAGCAAATTGTCCGGTTGTAATAAAAATCAAACTCGCAAAATTATAATTTGCGTAATTACTGGTTGTAGGACCTCTTGTGAGTCCGCGCGGGTGGGTACCACCACCCTGCCTATTTCTGCCGTGAAGCAGTAATGCGTTTCGATTTGAAGGGTGGGGCAGCCGTTGTAACTATACTTGAGACCTTAGAACTTATATCTCAAGGTGGGTGGCGCATTTACGTTGTAGATGTCTATGGGCTCCAGTAACCACTTAACACCAGGTGGGCTGTGAGCTCGTCCACCCATCTAAGCAATAAAATGAATAAAATTACTACCGGATTAAAATCGCGACCAGCTGAGGAGATTGAAACCTATAGACACATCTATGGGTTTGGCGAGAACGATGACCGGTGCTTGAGGTACCTAAAAGCACCGTTAATGGATCGGCAGGATCCGTAATGACATGTTTAAGGGGGACAGCGTTTACCATTCGGTCCGCAGAATTGGGTATGTGGGTAACGACAGATGAATTTCAGAGCAAGGAAGTGATAAGGGAACGCGAGCGAGCCCGGTACACGCTCAAGTCTCTCCCGGCCGGCCTCACGCAGTCCTGGCAGCAATACATGCTGAAGCGCCAGTACGAAGACTTCTGTCACTGCATAGCCCAGGTGAGGATCGAAAGCCGGTGTGCTAAGTGCGAGTCCTTTAACGTTCTCGATAGCGTAAAAGTTAACTTAAATTTGTATGGAGTTGGAACAGCGCCCCTAGCGGCAAACGTTCCGACTAACTCTCCGACACTATTTCAAGTATCAAAGAATATGTTAGAATTTGTAATTTCCCGTAACTATCACTTCAGATCGTATCAGACTAAGATAACATTGATAGATTCGTCGAAGGATCTTATTCTTGTTCTGAATAGTCTCCCGATGGCCTGGGGTCATCTCTGCCGGGTGGAATGTGGCATCGTCCAGTAGATTCATTGTGTGGGATGTCTTATCAGTTCAAGGTTTTGGGCTCCAAGCCCTTGGCCCTTCTAAGTTGTCAGGAATTATTTGCGTCATACGGTACGCTGTTGACGGGCGTTGAGCGATCCGGTCACCGTCCTCGTCGAACCCGTCGCTTGTGCCGAAGAGCTCAACGAGTAAATTAACCCATAGACACAGCTCACTAAGTTTCTCGCCGGATCTTCTCAGTGGGTCGCGTTTCCGATCCGGTGGTAGATTCTGCGAAGCATGACTCTTGCTAGGGCCAGTGTTAGCAACATTCCGGTTTGAGCCCCGTGAGCTCACCTACACGTCAAGGAGAAGCTGAAATAGCTTCTCAAGGTTATCAGCATAAAAAAAAATGCGTTGAGCGTTTAGTACTTACTGGTGGTAGGACCTGTTGTGAGTCCGCACGGGTAGGTACCACTGCCCCGCCTATTTCTGCCGTGAAGCAGTAATGCGTTTCGGTTTGAAGGGTGGGGCAGCCGTTGTAACTATACTTGAGACCTTAGAACTTATTCTCAAGGTGGGTGGCGCATTTACGTTGTGGGTGTCATCGATTAGAAGGTATTTTCGCGAAGTTTCCATGATCCGAGATCGAACGTTGTCCGTCAGGTATCGGAGTCCGCGTACGACGAGCGCACGGCCGCGTCGGTCCCCGGGGTGCACTACGAGTTCCCGGGCGGCTACCACCAGGACTTCGGCCCGGAGCGGTTCAAACTAACCGAGACGCTGTTCGAGAGCTCCCTGGCCGCCCCCCATCTGGGTAACGTATACACCGGGCGTCCCCTACCCCGATAGTAAACTGCTACCGGACGAGAGGCTAAATCACATGGATTTTTTTCTAAAATATAAAATATCCCATTTATAAATGTAACGAGAAAAGAGAACGCACTATTTTGTACAGTGACGTCATAAAGTCGAGATCGTCAAAGTCGATACGAGATAAACCGTTTCCCAAATCGCAACTACTAAATTTCTACTAGATGAGGGTTCCACAGCATCAGCCCAGCGATGCTTGAGCCCTCCTCCGGTATATCCGCTTCAGGGTCCGATCTCGCCCTATCCGTACAACCCTCGCCCAGAAATTTGGCTCACCAAATAGCTTCCAAACATATTTCCTTACTCGGCCGCGCTAACGTGCGTCAGAATAGCGGTGCTCGGCATCATTACGATACAACCTCTCCCCAGAACATTTGGCTCACCAGAAAGCTCCCAAACATCAGAACATTTGGCTCACCAAATAGCTCCCACATGCGTTTGTTTACCCGGGCGCGCCAACGTGCGTCAGATCAGCAGTGCTCGGCCTCATTCCCGTACAACTCCTCCCCGACATGCCCGAGCTATGTCTCCGCGCCTTCTTACATCCCCCTCCCCAAACATTTGGCTCACCAAATAGCTTCCACATACGCTTGTATACCCGGCCACGTGTGTCAGATCAGCGGCGCTCGGCATCATTCCCGTTCAACCCCTCCCCAGAGAACATTTGGCTCACCAAAGAGCTCCCACACATCAGATCATTTGGCTCATCAAATAGTGTCCCACACACATTTGCTAACGTTGGATATGCGTGCGTGTAGCGTGCGCGGCGGCGGCGGCGTGCGACGCGGACGCGCGGCCGGCGCTGTGGGCGGGGGTGGTGTGCGGGGGCGGGGGCGCGTGCGTGACGGGCTGGGCAGAGCGCGTGGCCCGCGACCTCGCCGCGCGTGCTCCCTCCTCGCACCGCCTCAAGAGCCACGCGGCCGCCTCGCTCGCCGAGAGACGGTTCGCCGCCTGGATAGGTACGTCACACTTAGGACCTTATCATACTAGCGAAGCACGCCGCGTATTTGTAGCGAGTTGACGACTTACAATACACTCACTAACAAAATTGTTTTCGACGAGGAAACACTACTATTGGCTTTGTTACTTCGAAGACGCCGGAGACGAGAACATTTTTTTTTTCTAAAGGCATTTTATGACCTGGTAACTGAGACCTTTAGGTCAAGTCTTCCCGCCAAAAATTCCACGAAAACAAAAGCATCGACGAATTTGGAAGGATCGATTATCAATTGAATCGAATGGAAGAGAGCGATTACTTGGTGTTTTTTTTTTTGCGAACAAATAAAAAATAATCCAAAACAATTTCGCTCTTACCTGCGAATATCAAGATCTACATTTTATGAGTTGTTGCATCTGATAAAAACTGACTTATGACATGAAGACACACGGACTGAAGTGAGGCGTGGCGGACGGGTTGGCGTTTGTACGAGACAGTACAAAATGGCGTCTACGAGACGTTACAAAATGGCGTCTACGAGACAATACAAAATGGCGTCTACGAGACAATACAAAATAGCGTCTACGCTGCTACTCGTGACGATCTCCTTCGCGAATTCGTTACGCATCCGCGGCGTGTTCATTACGTGCCCGCTCCGCTTTGAGAATGCTCGCAATCCACTAGTATGATAAGGCCCTTATACTTCACTAATAACATAGTGTCATTAATATGTATAGAGTCCGCACGGGTGAGTTCCACCATCCTGCCTATTTCTGTCGCAAAGCAGGAATGCGTTTCAGATCAGCCCAGCCAAGGTCAGTCGTTGTACTGTAAAACTGAGGCTTTAACTCATGTTTCAAGGTGGTTAGCGGTATTTTCGTTGCAAGTGTCCATGGGCTTTAGACATTTGCCTCTAGTCTCGAGTTTTTTTATTTATTGCTTAGATGGGTGGACGAGCTCACAGCCCACCTGGTGTTAAGTGGTTACTGGAGCCATATACGACCTAATTGTGCCACCCACCTTGAGATATCAGTTCCTAAAGTCTCAAGTATAGTTACAACGGCTGCCTCGCCCTTCAAACCGAAACGCATTACTGCTTCACGGCAGAAATAGGCAGGGTGGTGGTACCTACCCGTGCGGACTCACAAGAGGTCCTACCACCAGTAAGGAGAAGACATTCACATGTTGATGCCTACAGACAACAATAAAAATATTTGATGACTCGGAAGTTGTAGTAAGCGTCAGATGCAGGCGAGTGAGAATCTGACGTGGTGTTGCAGGCGGGTCCATACTGGCGTCCATAGGCTCGTTCCAGCAGATGTGGATCTCCTCGCAGGAGTACGACGAGGGCGGAAAGGGGCACCTCGAAAGGAAATGCCCTTAATCTAGACTAAGTTAAACGTATAAGCCCTTCTAGTGAGAACAGTGCATGAATTTTGTATCCGGTAAATTGGTCGATGCCGATTTTGAGTCGCCCCCGGTTGGCGCTGTCCATGGACAACACAGCACGTCGCCGCTCAATTTGAGAGTCGAGGCCGAAGTCTCGGGTGCAAGAGGGCGGTTCCCACAAGTCAAACCGGACAACGTGTAGACATAGTGTGTCTTTAAGGGGGATTATAAAAAAAAAATGTTAATCAACGAACTATATGTGAATCGAACTGACTTATAATGTCCTCGTCATTATTAAAATAAAATGCAAAATTAATTTTATGAATAGTAGTTTTATTTTTTAACGGCGCGGACGATGGTCCTTTAAGCCGACAAGTTTCCTTACAGCGAGCGTATACCGGTGTTGTTGACAACACTTGGCAATAGCCAACTACATACAAAATCTTGTTAATAAACAATAAGGAATTTTTTAACATTATTTTTCATCATCGCCCAGACGGGTAGACGAGCTTGGCTGGAGTCGGTAAACGGTCACTGGAGCCCATTGACATCTAGAACGTAAATTCCGCCACCCGTTTTGATACATGAGCTGTAAGGACGGGGCAGCCCTTGTGACTATACTGAGGCCCTTAGAACTTATATATCAAGGTGGGTGGCGTATTTACGTTGTAAATGTCTATGGGCTCCAGTAAACACCAGGTGGGCTGTGAGCTCGTGCAGCCATCTAAGCAATAAAAACAAAAGACACTAAAGATTTTTTTTTAAACTAATGAGTTTTTAATGATAAAGGCTTTTCTTTACACGAATATAAGTATGTATGTCAGTCTGGTACCCATAACACGGGATCCTAAATTGGGACCGAATGACAGTGCGTGATTTGTTGCTAGTTATCATATTAAACTTGTTTAATTCATATCATTTCGAATGATGGTAGTAATGATATTAAAATTCTTATTCGAGTTTGGTCCGCGACCGCAGCTCAGCGGACCGTAAGCGGCGCCCGCCAAAACCTCCAAAACGAAATAAAACTTCAAGAAAATTATTTAAAACGTTTATTTTAAACATTTTAACGTGCGACTCGCAGTGACGGTTCGAAATATCACAAATATACATGTTTAAATCGCTCTAGTTGTTCAACTCCTGTCCCTCTCATGAGTGGACATGGCAACGTTGTATTGCCACCTTGAGACGTGCGATCTGAGACTTGCCCCACGAATACAAACACCACGGCTTCGTGGCGGAAGTCGCCGGGACGGGGGCACCGACCCGTCCGTGATTACTCCCAATGAGCCGCCCGATTCAAACACAAAAGATCAATTATTCCATAACTAATTCAGTATGCTTAGTGCGAGTTTTTTAAAGTCCTCGATAACGTAAAAGTTAGCTCATATTTGTATGGAATGGGATCGTTTGCCTACGTTTGCCGCTAGGGGCGCTGTTCCAACTGCATACAAAATTGGCATAACTTTTACGCTATCGAGAACGTTAAAAAACTCGCACCAAGCACACTGATATATTCTCCAATTGATTTAACTATACAATGTTTCTCTAACGCTTCAAAACGAATTGAACAAATTAAAGACTAATCCCTCCTATAACACGGTTGATTGGTTCAGCGTTATAGGAAGCGCGTTGTAGGAGTAATCTCGCGTAACGCGCTTGTATGACCGCATATAACGCGTTATATACAAATATAATAGAATATAACCAATATTTTTACAATTCAGAAGTTCGGGAACACAAATTTAATAAATCTATATATTAATACGTGAAGCAAAAACTTTGTATCCCTTCTTACGAAAATTGCGCGGACGGAGGAGTATGAAATTTTCCACACTTATAGAGAATATAGAGAAGAAGTGCACAATGCTAATATTTTTTTTAAATAATGCATAAAAGATACATTAAATCAATAAAGAAAACATTACACACACTACATACCATGTATTTGACGCACACACGCATGCATACTATTTATTGTCAAACTTTTGTTCTTGACNGAGATATAGTTCTAAGGTCTCAGTATAGTCACAACGGCTTCCCCACCCTTCAAACCGAAACGCATTACTGCTTCACGGCAGAAATAGGCGGGGCGGTGGTACCTACCCGTGCGGACTCACAAGAGGTCCTACCACCAGTAATTACGCAAATTATAATTTTGCGGGTTTGATTTTTATTGCACGATGTTATTCCTTCACCGTGAAAGTCAATCGTGAACATTTGTTGAGTACGTATTTCATTAGAAAAATTGGTACCCGCCAGCGAGATTCGAACACCGGTGCATCGCTCGATACGAATGCACCGGACGTCTTATCCTTTAGGCCACGACGACTTCCACGACGAGTTAGCTCATATTTGTATGGAATGGGATCGTTTGCCTACGTTTGCCGCTAGGGGCGCTGTTCCAACTGCATACAAAATTGGGCTAACTCGTACGCTATCGAGAACGCTAAGAAACTCGCACTAAGCACACAGATATATTCTCCAATTGATTTAACTATACAATGCTTCTCTAACGCTTCGAAACGAATTGAACAAATTAAAGACTAATCCCTCCTATAACACGGTTGATTGGTTCAGCGTTATAGGAAGCGCGTTGTAGGAGTAATCTCGCGTAACGCGCTTGTATGACCGCATATAACGCGTTATATACAAATATAATAGAATATAACCAATATTTTTACAATTCAGAAGTTCGGGAACACAAATTTAATAAATCTATATATTAATACGTGAAGCAAAAACTTTGTATCCCTTTTTACGAAAATTGCGCGGACGGAGGAGTATGAAATTTTCCACACTTATAGAGAATATAGAGAAGAAGTGCACAATGCTAATATTTTTTTTAAATAATGCATAAAAGATACATTAAATCAATAAAGAAAACATTACACACACTACATACCATGTATCTGACGCACACACGCATGCATACTATTTATTGTCAAACTTTTGTTCTTGACGTCTGTTGTCAAATTGAGAATAGTTAAATGTTGTTTGTCTTTGTTAATATTTTTTATAGTGTAGCCTTGGCGAAATTTGTGATTATAGAAGTATAAAATACAATCATAATAGTGTACAAACTTACAATTCCAATTAATTATAGTCGAATTTCGACTACTGTGGGAACTCTAGTTAATTTAATTTTATAACAACAAAATTGAAACGAATGTGCAAAGGTACGCGAAATTAATTAGGTATGAAATCATTATAAATTTGACAGTACAGCATTAGTATAAAATGTGAAATCACCGTGTTATACAAAGGATTGAAATCGCGTAATACGAAAATGCGTTATAAGAGTACCGTGTTATAAGGGCGATTACTCTATTCTGAGAAAACAGTGAAACTAGATTTGATTTATTTAAAATGTTAAAAGAAAATAATGATGTACTACGGTATCTTAATCAGTAATACTAGCCCTTCTTTGCGTGATGATGGAAATTTCCATCATAACATTTAATGCCGGTAAAAGGGTATACAAAACCAGTGTAGTTTAAATTTGTTGCTGCTGGCAACTTTTTACAACGCCGTAGTGTAAATCGAAACGCAGATGTCAAAACAAAAGCTAACGCCACTGTTAATTACCAGGATTTGAACTTGTCATTCCGCTGTTTGTTGTGACCGGAAAAAACGGCGGAGTTTATAAATTATTTTAGGAAATTATTAGGAAGGAATTAACTAGAGTGTCTGTTTGTAATATAAAAATAGCCTCTTTTTACTACATGCATATATACGGTACATACACCAAAATAACATTTTTTACAATTTTTGTCTGTCTGTCTATCTGTCTGTCTGTCTGTTTGTTCCGGCTAATCTCTGGAACGGCTGGACCGATTTTGAGGAGACTTTCACTGATAGATAGCTGATGATATAAGGAGTAACTTAGGCTACTTTTTTTAGACCAGCTTCGCCCCACGGCGTCACCCGCAGTTATAATCGTAGCGCGCTCAACATGGCGGGCTTCGCTTATCAATAAGAAGCGAAGCGAGGGCGGGTCGCTAGTCTGCTATAAAAAGTGATAATGAGTGGAAGTAAGGTTTGTTTCCGTGTTTCTGTTATTTTATGTACAATTTCAATTGAAATACTCTGAATAAATTTCTCAAAACTATGTGACAGAAATTTACATCACTATGCAGTTGCCTCACTTGTAATGTATGGCGAAAATGTTTGTACCTATTATAAGTTTATTTTATTTTGCTTTTCTAGAAATACTTGAAAGATGTGGACATCAAACTTCANGTGCAAATACCCCAAATGTAAAGGATATTCCACAATATCATGTGGGAAATGCAAAGTTAACTTGTGTCTTAATAAAAATAATAATTGCTTTTTAAATTATCATCAAGAATAAAGAATGTACAAACATATTCTATTTTTTATTTATTTAGTACTGAGCTAAACATGTGGCATTGCATAATGATGTAAATTTCCATCATATTATTTTTTACTATTTTCATATTATATATTTACACTAGGATTTTTTAGATTATTTTTCCCTTATTATAGATCATCAATTACACCAGCCCGATTTATTTTACAAAATAAAAAAAAATTATGCAAAGAAGGGTTAACCCTTCTTTGCATGATGATGGAAATTTCCATCATAACATTTAATGCCGTTAAAAAGGTACACAAAACTTCTGTAATTTAAATTTGTTGCTGCTGGCAACTTATTACAACGCCGTAGTGTAAAACGAAACGTAGCTGTCAAAGCAAAAGCCAACGTCACTGTTATTTACCAGGATTTGAACTTGTCATTCCGCTGTTTGTTGTTACTGGAGAAAACGACCGAGTTTATAAATTGTTCTAGGAAACTAAAGTGAGATTTATCTGCTATAAAAAGTGATAATGAGTGGAAATAAGGTTTGTTTCTGTGTTTCTGTTATTTTATGTACAATTTATATTGAAATACTCTGAATAAATTTCTCAAAACTATATGACAGAAATTTACATCTCTATGCAGTTGCCTCACTTGTAATGTATGGCGAAAATGTTTGTACTATAAGTTTATTTTGTTTTGCTTTTCTAGAAATACTTGAAAGATGAGGAAATCGAACTTTATCTGCATCAGTTAGAAGATGGTTGGCTCTCGGAAGACAGCCTTGAAGACCATGATTCCGAGGATGAACACCACAATACTGATGAGATTGTACGACTGTTGCAGGACGAAATTAATGATAATGATTCAGATGACGGTGAAAAGGAAAGTGCTGATATTGATCTTCCTCTTCTAGACCCAGAAGAAATGGAACCCACTCACACATCATCATCCAATTTGCAGTCTTCATCTTCATCAAAAACTGATTTTTCATTTGAAAAAAGAAACTTGATATGGAAAAAACGCAATCTGGTGTATGACACAAATAAAATTACTTTCTTGGGGAGTTCTGCTACTCCAGATGATTTATCAAACCTGGAAACCCCATATCAATGCTTCAACCATTTCATCACAAAAGATTTCATCAATAGTTTAGTGGAACAGACAAATTTATATATTATACAAAGCAATCCCAGTTCAACTACAACATATACAGAATATGATTTATATAAGTTCTTAGGCATTTTGTTATACATGTCAGTACAAAAATATCCTAGCACAAGATCATACTGGTCACCTAGGTTTGGTTATGACCTAATTTCTTCAACAATGCCACTGAACAAATTTGAGAAAATAAAGTTATCATTACATTTTAACAACAATGAACTACACAAACCTATAGGTCACCCAGAACATGACAGACTATTTAAAATCCGCCCTGTAATCCAGCATTTCAATGAAAGGTTTGCTACAGTGCCAATGAACCAAAGACTAAGCGTGGATGAACAGATGTGTTCTACAAAAATAGGGCACTTTCTGAAGCAATACTTACCCAATAAGCCCCATAAATGGGGTTTTAAATTGTATGTGCTTTGCGATTTGATGGGCTATGCCCACAAATTTGAGATATATTCTGGACAAGGCTGTTCAGATAAACTCCCAGATGAACCAGATCTCGGTGCAACTGGTAATGTAGTGGTACGTTTGCTTCGGGGAGTGCCAAGAAAGATAAACCACATCATATACTTTGACAATTTTTACACTTCTTTGCCATTAGTATATTTCCTAGCTAAGGCAGGAATTCATACAGTGGGGACAGTACAACTAAACAGAATACCAAATAATAAATTACCTGAAAAAAAAGATTTCATGAAGAAATCAGTGCCCAGAGGTAGTTATGAAGAGAGAGTTTCTGTGCTTGATGATATAGATATGTCATGTGTAGCTTGGAAAGATAATAAGGTAGTAACTTTGTTATCTACTTATGCTGGAGCATTGCCTGTGACTAAAGTCAACAGATATGACAAATCAAAAAAAGAAAAAATGGACATCACTTGCCCGTTTATTGTCCAAGAATATAATAAACATATGGGGGGAGTTGACCTCATGGATAGCTTTTTGGGCAGAAATCATATTACTATGAGGTCTAAAAAATGGTACCTGCGTATTTTTTTTCATTTATTTGACCTTGCCATAATAAACTCTTGGATTATCTATAAAAAAAATGCTCAGGAAAGGGATGAATCTCAAAAGAGTCTTCTTACAATGAGCCAATTTAGAAATGAATTGGCCTTTGTCTTATGCAACAAGGGAACCACTAAAGATGTTAAAAGGGGGCGTCCCAGCAGCAGCATCCTTGAAGAAAAATTGCTGACAAAAAAAAGAAAAGGTTCTCCAGCTCCTCCGCCACCGAAAGATCTAAGGAAAGATGGTTTTGAGCACTGGCCAACAGTCGGTGGGTCACTTAGGTGCAAATACCCCAAATGTAAAGGATATTCCACAATATCATGTGGGAAATGCAAAGTTAACTTGTGTCTTAATAAAAATAATAATTGCTTTTTAAATTATCATCAAGAATAAAGAATGTACAAACATATTCTATTTTTTATTTATTTAGTACTGAGCTAAACATGTGGCATTGCATAATGATGTNCCATGATTCCGAGGATGAACACAACAATACTGATAATATTGTATGAGTGTTGCAGGACGAAATTGATGATAATGATGCAGATGACGGTAGAATGAAAGTGCTAATATTGATCTTCCTCTTCTAGACCCAGAAGAAATGGAACTCTCTCACACATCATCATCCAATTTGCAATCTTCATCTTCATCAAAAACTGATTTTTTTTTTGACAAAAGAAACTTGATATTGAAAAAACGCCATCTGGTCTATGACACAAATAAAATTACTTTCTTGGAGAGTTCGGCTACTCCAGATGATTAATCAAACCTGGAAACCCCATATCAATGTTTCAACCATTTCATCACAAAAAATTTCATCAATAGTTTAGTGGAGCAGACAAATTTATATATTATACCAATCAATCCCGGTTCATCTACAACATATACAGAATATGATTTATATAAGTTCTTAGGCATTTTGTTATACCTCTCAGTACACAAAAGATCATACTGGTCACCTAGGTTTGATTATGACCCAATTTCTTCAACATGCCACTGACCAAATTTGAGAAAATAAAGTTATTATTACATTTTAACAACAATGAACTACACGAACCTATTCAGAATATGACAGACTATTTAAAATCCGCCCCGTAATCCAGCACTTCAATGAAAGGTTTGCTACAGTGCCAATGAATCAAAGACTAAGCGTGGATGAACAGATGTGTTCTACAAAAATAGGGCACTTTCTGAAGCTATATTTACCCAATAAGCCCCATAAATGGGGTTTTAAATTGTATGTGCTTTGCGATTTGATGGGCTATGCCCACAAATTTGAGATATATTCTGGACAAGGCTTTACAGATAAACTCCCAGATGAATCAGATCTCGGTGGAACCGGAAATGTAGTGGTACGTTTGCTTTGGATAGTGCAAAGAAAGATAAACCACATCATATACTTTGATAATTTTTACACCTCTTTTCCATTAGTATATTTCCTAGCTAAAGCAGGAATTCACATAGTGGGGACTGTACATATTAACAGGATACCAAAATAACAGTTTGCTTTGGGGAGTGCAAATAAAGATAAACCACATCATATACTTTGATAATTTTTACACCTCTTTTCCATTAGTATATTTCCTAGCTAAAGCAGGAATTCACACAGTGGGGACTGTACAACTAGACAGGATACCAAATAACAAATTACCTGAAAAAAAAAATTTCATGAAGAAATCAGTGCCCAGAGGTAGTTATAAAGAAAGTGTTTCTGTGCTTGATGGTATAGATATATCTGTGTAGCTTGGAAAGATAAAGTAACCTTGTTATCTACTTATGCTGGAGCATTGCCTGTGACTAAAGTCAACAGATATGACAAATCAAAAAAAGAAAAAAATTACATCACTTGCCCGTTTATTGTCCAAGAATATAATAAGCAGATGGGAGGAGTTGACCTCATGGATAGCTTTTTGGGCAGAAATTATATTACTATGAGGCCTAAAAAATGGTACCTGCGTATTTTTTTCATTTATTTGACCTTGCCTTAATAAGCTGATTGCTCCAAAGCTTACGGATATATTTAATGAAATACTTAACACGGAAAACATCCCCGATGATTGGACTAAATCAACAATTATATTGCTCCATAAAAAAGGCGACAAAGGAGACATAGGAAATTATAGGCCCATTAGCCTGATGTCGAATATATACAAGGTTTTTTCAAAAATTATACTTTCTAGAATTACAAATACCCTTGAAGAAAATCAGCCCAAAGAACAAGCTGGATTCCGTAGACATTTTTCAACTATAGATCACATTCACGCTTTGAGACAGATACTACAAAAATTTAAAGAATATAACAAAACTTACTACCTGGGGTTCATTGACTTTAACAAAGCTTCGACACATTAGAACACAGTTTTATTTGGAACGCACTTGAAGCACAAGGCGTCGAAACAAAATACATTAGAATACTTAAAAATATCTACACAAAAAGCACTGCTCGAGTGAAGCTAGAATCGACAGGAGACCTTAGAATAATTACACATAGAAACCGAGTCCGCCTCCGTAAAGTGAGGCAACTCAAACCTAGCCATATTGGCTAAGTGCATTATTCGGCCCGTCAGTGCTCAAAGACGTGTCGTATTGAAAAGTACTCCCGAAATTTTTATTAAAAATGACGATTTGTTCAATGAACGGATGTCATACTACATCGGAAAAACACAAGAAAGATAGTAACATTACATTTCACGGGTAAGTAATGCGTTTGAACGTATATTTTTACGTAAAACATTAATCAAAATGAAAAATAAATTTCAATAATTTGTAATGCCATAGTTTATGAAAATGTTGCCAACACGGGGAAATATTCTCACACATTTTGTTGTTTAATTAAAAGTGAAACACGTCTCAATTAGGTAATTAAAAGCGCTTTTTTTTTATTAAATTAAATTGATTAATAAGGAAACAGACAAAAACACAACAAGCTCGCATACTTATAATAATAATAATATGTAATTTTATGTTTTGGTTTGGTTTTAGGTTTCCTTCCTATCATCAAAGCGACAATTGTTCAGAAAACAGTTCCAGCTGTTACAAGGGTACTGAAATAAATAATTATACTTGTTATTTGTTTTTCTTTCTCTTGTATAAAAGTTTTATTTTCATCATGCAGGCAATATTCGTGTATTCCGGTAAATAGGTACGTTAGATTATTTAGGATTTTAACAAAACGGGTCACTACCAAGCAGTTTCGATAGACGAATTGCACTTATATTTAACTCCTAATCGTTTAGGGGATCTATGGGCCTTGTCATCAGTTCAGCAGTAATAATTGATGAGTTCCAAATAAATAAAAGGCGAAATCTAATAATCACATTTGTTCTGTGATCACAAGTAATAGTTTCAACTTCCCTGTTTTTAGAGAAATTGGCAACATAATTTTTTTCACTGTGTGCGTTTCGTCGAGCGTAAATACAAGTACCTTACGCACACATAGATTATATTCTTGCCTCGCTTTTGACAGACCGCTTTGAAGAGAACTATCGTTCTATGTGTAATTATTCTAAGCAGGAGACGAATTCCCTATTAAAAGAGGTGTACGCCAAGGAGACCCTATATCACCAAAATTATTTTCAGCCGTTCTTGAAATGATATTTAGGAACCTAAAATGGACAAAGGGACTAAATATAAATGGTGAAAATCTAAGTCATCTTCGCTTTGCAGACGACATTATTTTGTTTTCGGATTGCCCAAAAACTCTGGAAAGCATGTTGCAACAGCTATCGAATGAAAGTATTAAAGCAGGCCTGTCAATGAACTTAACAAAAACTAAAATAATGTCAAATTCTACAAATATAGAAATAAAAATAAATGACGAGGTAATAGAATATGTACAAGAATATATATATCTTGGACAACTTATATCTCAAGAAGACTGCATGCAAAAGGAAATAGAAAGAAGAATTGCTAATACCTGGAAACGGTTCTGGTCGCTAAGCGAAGTAATGAAAAATAAAGACATGCCTATAAAACAAAAGAGAAAAGTATTTAATATGTGTATTCTTCCATGCTTACTGTACGGGTGTCAAACTTGGGCGTTGACAGAAGAACTATCAAACAAATTAAAAATTTGTCAAAACGGAATAGAGAGAAGTACAATAGGCGTAAAAAGAAAAGACCGAATAAAACTAAAAGACATAAAGAGCAAGACAAACTTTAAGAACGCATACACAACTTACAAACAGCTAAAATGGCGATGGTCTGGACATATGATCAGAGAGAAAAAGGAGAAATGGACCAGTTTAATAACTGAATGGTATCCACGAGATGGTAAAAGGAATAGAGGTAGACAGACTAAAAGATGGGAGGACGACATTATAAAAATAGCTGGTACTACATGGACGCGTACAGCAAAGGACAGGACACAGTGGAAATCTTTAGAGGAGGCCTTTGTCGAAGGACAAGCTGCGATACCACAACCATCGTTTGCCGATATTTAATTTAATTCCATAAGGAACTTAGTATTTAAGTTTTGGCATGTTTAAGTAATTTGATATAGTTTGTAAAAATAAGAACAGCAATAAAGGCTTTTTTATTTTTTTTATTTTTTATTTTTATTTATTTTATTTTATTTTAATAAGCTCTTGGATTTCTATAAAAAAATGCTCAGGAAAGGGTTGAATCTCAAAAGTCTTCTTACAATGCGTCAATTTAGAAATGAATTGGCTTTTGTCATACAAGGGAACCACTAAAGATGTTAAAAGGGCGCGTCCCAGTAGCAGCATCCTTGAAGAATTGCTGACAAAAAAAAGAAAAGATTCTCCTGTCCCTCCGCCACTGAAAGATCTAAGGAAAGATAGTCTTGAGCGTTGGCCAACAGTCGGTGGGTCACTTAGGTGCAAATACCCCAAATGTAAAGGATGTTCCACAATATCATGCGGGAAATGCAAAGTTTACTTGTGTCATAATAAAAATAATAAAAGCTTTAAAATTATCATCAAGAATAAAGAATGTACAAACATATTCTATTTTTTATTTATTTAGTACTGAGCTAAACATGTGGCATTGCGTAATGATGTAAATTTTCATCACATTAATTTTTTACTATTTTCATATTAAATATTTACACTAGAATTTTTTAGATCATTTTTCCCTTAATTATAGAGCATCAATTACACCAGGCTGATTTATTTTACAAAATAAAAAAAAAAACATGCAAAGAAGGGCTAGGTCGGATCTAATGAAGTTATAATAATATTCATTAACCCTAAACGCATGAGCAAATTGTAAAGTTAATCTGACAATAGGTATACATAGGTATTAGTTCCATTTTTCCAACTGGAAAAGCGAAGGTATCACACCATGCGGCCTAATATTTTGGATAATCTGTTTAAAATGATATGGAGTGGAACGAAAAAAGTTGATTTATTTGAGAATATAATCGACTGGGATGAAATTAAATGGAAC